AGGCAGCCTTATCAGTGTGGCTGCCTCCACTATATCACTATATACTACTAAATCATTAATCAATGCAAGATCAATAATCTTTGGGAAACCCTGCCTGACTTTGGAGTTCTATCATGTAATTGAATATTGGAAAATAATGTTGTTCACTGAAGCTTGCTCTTAAATGATTGAACCATTATATGTGATCCCCCACTCTCTGTACACAGCTCATCAGTTGGAGCAGGCGAAGACAGGAGGAGTTGCAGGGATTTGCGCATCCCTCATCACCATCGGGCCCTGAGATGACATCACAGCAGCCACAGCTCCCCAATGCTGTCATTCCTCCCCACCTCGCCCAGAACTCCTCTGCTCAGCAGGCACGGCCCCACATTCAGGCTAATCAGCTGGACTCAAGTCAGAGCGGTGCAACTGCCGGGTCTTTGGACCACAGAGCTCTGACGGGCAGGCCGGGCTGCTCCGGTGTGGCAGCAACCAGCGGGGAGGTGTCCAACAGGAACGTTTCTGCCTCCTGCGCCAACTCCAGCTCGTCTAGAAGAGATCGGGGCTTCGAGCCGTGGCCTGAGGAAGCAGTAGATAACTCACACGGGCTGTACTCACTCCACCGCATGTTCGACATAGTCGGAGCCCAGCTGACGCATCGGGATGTCAGGGTACTGTCATTCCTGTTTGTCGACGTGATTGACGAGTACGAGCGTGGTGGCATCAGGAGTGGAAGGGATTTCCTGCTGGCCCTAGAGCGCCAGGGTCGCTGTGATGAGACCAACTTCCGACACGTTCTCCAGCTTCTAAGGATTATCACCCGTCACGACCTACTGCCTTATGTCACACTCAGGAAACGACAGGCTGGTGAGTATAGCATATCATCACAGGCTTAATATGCATATTTGATAACATTAAAATAATGTCTTACTGTTAATAATGTACAGTTTTTGTGCACCCATAGTATATGGTATAAGTAGTTTTTATTCTATCAAGGCCAAGAGTGAGCTATTTATGCTAGCAACATTTTTTGATAGCAATGTATGGTCAGTAGAACTTTAGAAGGCACAGCCACCCAGAATATGCAAATACCCATACTGAACATATAATAGCTTATGTGACATGTTACTATACTGTACTGTTACAATTGCATATAAGAGTCTGACCAAGCAGATTTTTGAGGGCGAAAATTCTACGTGTACAGATATGTATTTGAATTTTTGACCTGGAATGAAAATAGACCCTTTCAATGTGGATTGCGCACCAACTCTGCAAAGGTACTCAGATGGCAGCTTTCTTAAACAAATATTTCAGTTAAATATTCTTTTAAATATGTTAAACAATTGAACATATACACTACCAACCAATTCTAGTTGACGACTCTGTGAGCTGCTTCAGTCTGCTTACTGGTTATGCTTTTAAACAGTGATATAAAGAGAGAACTTTGCACTTTGAGTGACACCAGTATATTACCACAAGCATTTTCTGCATTATATACTAAAAATAATTATTAGGGATGAATGATATGGATTTCTTTCAGCCAATACAATAACTGATTACCTGCTTTCATGAATGATACAGTAAGGGAACAGATAATTTCACATTTTTG